GGGGGGGGGAGATGTTCATGTTGCTGCAGTCTGCAGTCTGACCGCTAGATGTCGCTAAAAGTTACACACTGTAGCTTTAAGGTGTAGGCGGACAGCAGAGTCTTGTCCAGAGGAGGTAGCCCGTCTGTGTTGAGCCATGCATCTGTGGAGAGGTTGTTTGGTTTCTCCAATATAAAGATCAGAGTATTCCTCACAGCACTGAACTGCATACCGGTACATCACTCCGCTCATCTTATGTCAGATGATATTGAAGCCTGCTGGCGATAATATAATGTATGATCTTCTGTATTTAGGAAAACCAGCTTTTTAACTGTATTGTAATGTTAACTCTTCATCAAAATGAAGAAACTTGATCCAAAAAGTGGTAATTTACTTGACTCATGCATCTGAGTCATCGGCATGAATCAACCCCCTCTGACTTGTTAAAACCAGCGGATAGGGCATGTCTACTTAGAGCTGCCCCCTCCAGGAACAAAAAGAGGATAATTCAGGTCCAGAAAGTAAAAACCCTGCTTAGTTTTTCTTCATCAATTCAATTAAATTCAGTTTATTTATATAGCGCCAATTCACAACACTTGTCATCTCAAGGATCTTTAGAGACAATTCAACTGCATCATACAGTCAGATTGTTCTCCCAACCAAGCGATGCTGATTGTAGGTGAAGCTGAAAAAAAAAATTTCATCATCTTGTGGATTTACCTTTATGACAGGAAGTCATTCAATCCCGTCCCTCAGTATGATGCTGCCATCACCGTAGCACCTTTAACATATTTCCTGATTTAAAAGTCAGGATTTGATCCTAAGCTAATATAACTGGCTTCACTGGAGACACAGATTCTGATGCTTGAGCAAATACCAGATTATAGCTCATTGTGCTTTTATAAAAATGTACCATGAAACATCAATTCATTACAGTTCAGAAGATAAACTAGAGTAAAATATAGTGTCATCATGGTCTTTTCTTCATACATCATCAACTGCACAGTAACAGATGAAACATCTCAAACAGAAAATGCATTTTTTCACATGGCAAAATTTCAAAATTGCGTCTCTTTTATCTTCCGTGTTTCCCTCCTTCAGCAAGGGAGCATTGAAGAGGCCGATCTAAAATCACCCAGCTCCCAAACAAAAACCCCCAAACTGTTTGGACATTTAATAGCTGGAAACCAAGCTAGTTTAATGTAAGCCCCTTTGTTATTAGCAATGTAATGACAGTTAATCCAAATAAAGCCTGCATGCTATTATGAGGCAAACAAAAAAGAGCATGTTATACATTGCACTATATCAGTTTGACAAGCTTTAAACAGTGCTGTACGGAAAAGTTTCCACTCTGCTCTGATTCCTGGTGGAATTAGAAGGAACTTGGTGCAGCTGTAGAGCCAAAAATCCCACGTTCTACCTTTGAAGAGTAGCAGCCAGCCGTGAAGACCTTATCTGCAAACTTCATGTGAACAAAGATAAAAGATCGGACACCCTTACTCAGATCTATAGCCAACAGTGCCGTGCAAAATATATCTTAAGCTTGCAGAAATGGAATGACAGGAAATGAAAGGGGCTGAGATATAATGTGATCATAAACACAGCTTCTTAGGTGCTGCATGAAAAACCTGAGCTGACAAAAGTCGACCATTGGTTTAACTGAAGTGAAAGACACCAGCTTTGGTCAGAAAACAGTGTAGTACGAGGATTGACTGAGGCCAATTTTCCAAACTGAAAAGTGAACCGATCCACAAGCTAGCTGATGTTTACCCCACTTTCCACCCAAATGTCAAATTACCTAAATTACAACCAATTTTCCAAAAATAACTGAGGTCTTTGAGCAAATGGCTTAAACTAATCCAGCACCTCAAGTCTAAAATGATCCAAGCTGCTTGTTGGATTGTTACTGGCCTTCCAAAATTCCATATTATCCTAAAAGAAAAGAAAGAAAAACATCTGCTGAACATAATGTCCTTAGATAAAGCTTGTGGGATTCCCGACATCCTGAAACTTTAGAGCTGTGGATTTTTTTTTTGTAATGATTAAAATGCATCTCATTGCAAAAAAAAAAAAAAAGATTTAGGATAGAAAAAAAATGCTTTAAATTTTCTGTCTTCTACAGGACTGTTTCTGGAAGAGAAACATTTGGCTCTCAGCTTGTCTATGTTTGTCTACAGTAATTCTTCATCCATGCGAAGAAAAGTTCACATTCAGCACTAAACCCAATCTTCTCTTGTGAAATTTCAATATGTTAATCACAGGCATACACGCATGCACGCAAACACACACACATTTATATATATACATATATACACACTATATATGCATACATATATATATACACATACA